ATTCTTATTATTAAACCTAAATGGGCCTGTTACAGTTAGCTCGAATTGCAATTCGGTCTCATTTGACCCTGGCCTATATAGCCCTTAAAATGGTTAAAAACTCAACGTATTGACATTTGAAAATGTAACCTTCGAGCAATGAAACCACAGTAGGAAAACGAGAATTCCTTGCCATGCAATAAATCTGGGCAAGCTAGATTAGGCCATCGGTTAAGTACTTGCTTTATATCCCACTGAGACAATGTCCCACAAAAATGTTTCTATTTCGTGACCCGTGAATAACTAGTCATGTGAGTAATTTGCGTGCTGTGTTCCAGTCTGCCCGAGGGAACAGTTTACCATTACGATGTGCACGTGGTCCCAGCGGACCCTAAAGACGTGACTAAGATCCCCAAGGATTTGAAACTTCGTCCAGCATCGACCGTTATAAATCGATTAGTCATGATGAAATTTGCGCAAACCTATAAAGCTAATTTAGGAAACTGTTTACCGGCGTATGATGGCCGCAGTAACGCATATTTCAAGAAGAAACTACCTAATGACATGTGTGTAAGTAAAAGCAGCTTGCCTTAAAATTCAATCGTAGAACTATCGATTTGTACGTAAGCTACGTATCAGCGCAGCAAATAGCCTCCTTAATAATCAACGACCTTAAGATACGAGCGTTTTTCTCAAAGAAATGAATGAATACTGTAATAATGTCTAATGTAGCAAAAAAGGACTATAAATAAAATACGATTACGGCGCTGATCTAGATTACAGATAATCATAGGGTAATCAAAAGAAAGATTTCAAAAGACGTTGTGTAAGTGGCGATTTGACCTTTTCCAGGATAAAATCTTCAAAGTGGAAATCAAATTTGAAGGTGCGGATCGGGTGTTCTTCGTGAGCCTAAAACCCGCAAGTGCAGTTTCATTTGCAACGCTGCACGCTATGTATAACAATCAGGCATCATTTGACCTGTCGCAGTCGGCTATTGCAGCGGCCGATATCATCTTACGTACAGGACTGACCGTGTCAAACATTCCGGTTGGCAGAAGCTTCTTCAGAGATCCAGGGGTGTGTAGCACATTAAAGCCATTCTTGTGTATATAATCGGAATTGCAGCGCCTCATGTAGAGCGCCGACTTTTGTAGCGTGTAATGATTGCAAATAACTGATCATCACAGCTTAATGCACTATCTATATAGAATCTGATTATTTATATAGTATGTAATGCGTCTAGGTCTAGATAGGTTATTTGCAAATTTTTCTTTCCTTTCAGTTCAAGCCACCATCGTTTCACGAAAAATCGCATCACATATGTATCTTGTAACATGTTAATTAAGGTGTTACCGATGAATGTAGAAACGTGTTATTGAACCGGTCAAGCGCACCACCGAGTGCAACTATTCGAGTAAACCAATTATTTCAACATCGAGACAATATAGACAAGTATTAAATGTTGTATCTTATGTGCACGATCAATTTTCAGCCAAACGTCAATAATAGCCTGGGCGGTGGACTCGAGTACTGGCAGGGTTTCTATGTATCTGTCAGACTCGGAAACTGGAAGCCCCTGGTCAATTTCGATATGAGCACCACTGCCTTCTATAAAGCAATGTTAGTATCGGACTTCGTTCAAGAAGTTTTGGGCGATCGCTACAACTACTCACGAGGTCTAAGCGATAAGGACAGATTGAATCTGCAGAAGCAGCTATCGGGGCTATTGGTCACCCACACTCATCTGAACCCGCAACGGAAGCACAAAATTGTATCCCTCAGCTTGTCTGGGGTGAACCGTGAAATGTTTGACTACAAGGGCAAGCGTATTTCGGTCGCTCAGTATTTCCGTGAAAAGTACAATATCCAACTTAGGTTTCCGAACTTGCCTTGTGTCATTCATCGCAAAGATACTAAAGTACCGATGGAGTGCTGCATGATTTCACCGGGCCAACACTGCCGCCGGAAGCTTTCGGAAATGCAAACAGCGACTTTAATTAGATCAACCGCAATTCAACCGGATCACCGTTTCGAGAAATTAGTTAACGCAGCAAAGGCTACTCAGCAAACGGTTTCTAATTATATGAAAGAATTTGAAATGAGCTTCGATGTAAAACCAGTAAGTAAATTTTATTAAGGGCAATACCGAGCGACGTAAATCTAACTAATACCGCCACAATGATATGACAGTTATAGCTTTAACGATATTGTTGATACCGGCAAGGGGACCATGATTCTTCTTCTTTTTCGGTTTGTTACGATCAGTATAGAACCAGTACGTATGGAGAATCTCTCAATGGCAGGGGGCTAATACTTCTGCTACTTTCGACAATTGCCATATCGAGCTAATTACTTCGGTCACGTTGCGGTAAACTAACGAGCATTCAATACAAAACTGCGGGATTAGTTGAATTTTGAATTTTTTACTTTCGTATCATATCGGTGTTGGCTACCAATTGGTAATGTGTTCCATAGGTTGATGTACAAGCCCGCGTATTGGATCCTCCTCGAATCAAATATGCAGACAGAAGCGAGCTGATCGTACCACGTGATGGAGGCTGGAGAAATGATAGAAATTACCAGTTTACCACACCCGCTAAGCTGAGAAGATGGGCTGTGGCTATCCACGGCTGTCGGGAGCGCGGGAACGAATCGAGTCAGATGGTGAACCAACTAATGAATGTGGCCAATAAGTATGGCATGGAACCAGGGCAGCTGAGTGTAGTAAGGTTTCAGCAGTGAGTACTCGGCTAGCTATTTCTATAAACTGTCATTAAATGAATCTTGAAAAAGCATATGATATCAATACTCTAACGAGCGGTGTCAAAACGAAGGTAACTGCCTCAAGGCAGAAATTTACAGGAGTGTCAGGCTTCTTCAATGAGTCTAGGCCTTAAATTAATTGAGACTTTTTTATTTCATACGATTGGAGAGGCATAATCTAGCATTTTTCAACCGGAGCATCCACATTGTGTTCGCTCTCCTGCCCATTTACGACTCTTGAGCTGTGGTTCACTGCGATGAATTCAATATTGCTGATATCGTGTTCGTTGATATTACTGCTATATACGCAGCTAAATGACATTGTTGCAAGAGCTAATTTTCATCTTGAAATGTTTGCAGAAATGTCTCTGAGAGGGAGATGCTTGCCAATGTTAAGAGGAACCATGAGCCAGATATGACAATTGTTGTTCTAGGCCATTCAACCAACTATTCTGTCGTTAAGATGGAGGCTGAAACTACAGATCTCTGCATGAGGACGCAGTGTTTGAAGGAACGCAATATAGGAAAAGCCAGCTGTGAGTATCAAAATAGGTATCGATTGACAGATAATAGATATGGCTAGACTGGGAAGTGTACGCAGAGCGATGGGGTAAAGTCAATGAATGTTAACTCGAACAGTCCACATTGTAAACGAGACCTATTAGGTTTATTATTATGACTCTATTAGAATATTATTAAATAAATATAAAATAATAATATTAAATAGATAAATGAAATCAGATTGCAGACGATTGCATTTTTCCATTGATGAAGATTTACAGGTTTTCACAATGCTTGGTTTTGAAAGAGACCTGAAATAAATGCCGCAGTGATACGATATTTATTTTTAAATAAATGCCGCAGTGATACGATATTTATTTTTTATCAAGGATTTTGTTCAAGTTTTTATTTAATTTATATATATATATATAAATTAAATATATAATTAAATATATAATAAAAATTAAATATAATTTATATATATATATATATATATATAAATTAAATAAAAACTTGAACAAAATCCTTGATAAAAAATAAATATCGTATCACTGCGGCATTTATTTCAGGTCTCTTTCAAAACCAAGCATTGTGAAAACCTGTAAATCTTCATCAATGGAAAAATGCAATCGTCTGCAATCTGATTTCATTTATCTATTTAATATTATTATTTTATATTTATTTAATAATATTCTAATAGAGTCATAATAATAAACCTAATAGGTCTCGTTTACAATGTGGACTGTTCGAGTTAACATTCATTGACTTTACCCCATCGCTCTGCGTACACTTCCCAGTCTAGCCATATCTATTATCTGTCAATCGATACCTATTTTGATACTCACAGCTGGCTTTTCCTATATTGCGTTCCTTCAAACACTGCGTCCTCATGCAGAGATCTGTAGTTTCAGCCTCCATCTTAACGACAGAATAGTTGGTTGAATGGCCTAGAACAACAATTGTCATATCTGGCTCATGGTTCCTCTTAACATTGGCAAGCATCTCCCTCTCAGAGACATTTCTGCAAACATTTCAAGATGAAAATTAGCTCTTGCAACAATGTCATTTAGCTGCGTATATAGCAGTAATATCAACGAACACGATATCAGCAATATTGAATTCATCGCAGTGAACCACAGCTCAAGAGTCGTAAATGGGCAGGAGAGCGAACACAATGTGGATGCTCCGGTTGAAAAATGCTAGATTATGCCTCTCCAATCGTATGAAATAAAAAAGTCTCAATTAATTTAAGGCCTAGACTCATTGAAGAAGCCTGACACTCCTGTAAATTTCTGCCTTGAGGCAGTTACCTTCGTTTTGACACCGCTCGTTAGAGTATTGATATCATATGCTTTTTCAAGATTCATTTAATGACAGTTTATAGAAATAGCTAGCCGAGTACTCACTGCTGAAACCTTACTACACTCAGCTGCCCTGGTTCCATGCCATACTTATTGGCCACATTCATTAGTTGGTTCACCATCTGACTCGATTCGTTCCCGCGCTCCCGACAGCCGTGGATAGCCACAGCCCATCTTCTCAGCTTAGCGGGTGTGGTAAACTGGTAATTTCTATCATTTCTCCAGCCTCCATCACGTGGTACGATCAGCTCGCTTCTGTCTGCATATTTGATTCGAGGAGGATCCAATACGCGGGCTTGTACATCAACCTATGGAACACATTACCAATTGGTAGCCAACACCGATATGATACGAAAGTAAAAAATTCAAAATTCAACTAATCCCGCAGTTTTGTATTGAATGCTCGTTAGTTTACCGCAACGTGACCGAAGTAATTAGCTCGATATGGCAATTGTCGAAAGTAGCAGAAGTATTAGCCCCCTGCCATTGAGAGATTCTCCATACGTACTGGTTCTATACTGATCGTAACAAACCGAAAAAGAAGAAGAATCATGGTCCCCTTGCCGGTATCAACAATATCGTTAAAGCTATAACTGTCATATCATTGTGGCGGTATTAGTTAGATTTACGTCGCTCGGTATTGCCCTTAATAAAATTTACTTACTGGTTTTACATCGAAGCTCATTTCAAATTCTTTCATATAATTAGAAACCGTTTGCTGAGTAGCCTTTGCTGCGTTAACTAATTTCTCGAAACGGTGATCCGGTTGAATTGCGGTTGATCTAATTAAAGTCGCTGTTTGCATTTCCGAAAGCTTCCGGCGGCAGTGTTGGCCCGGTGAAATCATGCAGCACTCCATCGGTACTTTAGTATCTTTGCGATGAATGACACAAGGCAAGTTCGGAAACCTAAGTTGGATATTGTACTTTTCACGGAAATACTGAGCGACCGAAATACGCTTGCCCTTGTAGTCAAACATTTCACGGTTCACCCCAGACAAGCTGAGGGATACAATTTTGTGCTTCCGTTGCGGGTTCAGATGAGTGTGGGTGACCAATAGCCCCGATAGCTGCTTCTGCAGATTCAATCTGTCCTTATCGCTTAGACCTCGTGAGTAGTTGTAGCGATCGCCCAAAACTTCTTGAACGAAGTCCGATACTAACATTGCTTTATAGAAGGCAGTGGTGCTCATATCGAAATTGACCAGGGGCTTCCAGTTTCCGAGTCTGACAGATACATAGAAACCCTGCCAGTACTCGAGTCCACCGCCCAGGCTATTATTGACGTTTGGCTGAAAATTGATCGTGCACATAAGATACAACATTTAATACTTGTCTATATTGTCTCGATGTTGAAATAATTGGTTTACTCGAATAGTTGCACTCGGTGGTGCGCTTGACCGGTTCAATAACACGTTTCTACATTCATCGGTAACACCTTAATTAACATGTTACAAGATACATATGTGATGCGATTTTTCGTGAAACGATGGTGGCTTGAACTGAAAGGAAAGAAAAATTTGCAAATAACCTATCTAGACCTAGACGCATTACATACTATATAAATAATCAGATTCTATATAGATAGTGCATTAAGCTGTGATGATCAGTTATTTGCAATCATTACACGCTACAAAAGTCGGCGCTCTACATGAGGCGCTGCAATTCCGATTATATACACAAGAATGGCTTTAATGTGCTACACACCCCTGGATCTCTGAAGAAGCTTCTGCCAACCGGAATGTTTGACACGGTCAGTCCTGTACGTAAGATGATATCGGCCGCTGCAATAGCCGACTGCGACAGGTCAAATGATGCCTGATTGTTATACATAGCGTGCAGCGTTGCAAATGAAACTGCACTTGCGGGTTTTAGGCTCACGAAGAACACCCGATCCGCACCTTCAAATTTGATTTCCACTTTGAAGATTTTATCCTGGAAAAGGTCAAATCGCCACTTACACAACGTCTTTTGAAATCTTTCTTTTGATTACCCTATGATTATCTGTAATCTAGATCAGCGCCGTAATCGTATTTTATTTATAGTCCTTTTTTGCTACATTAGACATTATTACAGTATTCATTCATTTCTTTGAGAAAAACGCTCGTATCTTAAGGTCGTTGATTATTAAGGAGGCTATTTGCTGCGCTGATACGTAGCTTACGTACAAATCGATAGTTCTACGATTGAATTTTAAGGCAAGCTGCTTTTACTTACACACATGTCATTAGGTAGTTTCTTCTTGAAATATGCGTTACTGCGGCCATCATACGCCGGTAAACAGTTTCCTAAATTAGCTTTATAGGTTTGCGCAAATTTCATCATGACTAATCGATTTATAACGGTCGATGCTGGACGAAGTTTCAAATCCTTGGGGATCTTAGTCACGTCTTTAGGGTCCGCTGGGACCACGTGCACATCGTAATGGTAAACTGTTCCCTCGGGCAGACTGGAACACAGCACGCAAATTACTCACATGACTAGTTATTCACGGGTCACGAAATAGAAACATTTTTGTGGGACATTGTCTCAGTGGGATATAAAGCAAGTACTTAACCGATGGCCTAATCTAGCTTGCCCAGATTTATTGCATGGCAAGGAATTCTCGTTTTCCTACTGTGGTTTCATTGCTCGAAGGTTACATTTTCAAATGTCAATACGTTGAGTTTTTAACCATTTTAAGGGCTATATAGGCCAGGGTCAAATGAGACCGAATTGCAATTCGAGCTAACTGTAACAGGCCCATTTAGGTTTAATAATAAGAATTTTGAGTCAATCATTCTGATGTATAATCTTTGTCTGTCAACAACGTTATAGCGCTCTTCTCATCTATCCATATATATATATACACAGGCGTGTGTCATTTCACACTTACTTGATTGGGAACATATTGGCTTCTATTAGGAGTTTCTTGCCTCTCTTTCCAGTTTCTTTTTTCTGAGCAGTAGACCGTAGGAAAAGTTCCGGTGCTGGATCTCTAAATAACTCAAAGAATTTTTTCCTCAGTTCCTTCAGATCGGAAACATTGGGAATGGCACTATGTCCCGTCGAGCGCACAGTTGGCTCAGCCGGATCTCCTGAAGCCTGTGGTGGCAGAGGTCTCGCTTGAAGTGCGCCAGACGGGCCCGCCTCTTGTTGTTGTTGTTGTTGTTGTTGTTGTTGTTGTTGTTGTCGCTGTTGTTGTTCTCGCTGTTGTTGTTCTCGCTGTTGTTGTTCTCGCTGTTGTTGTTCTCGCTGTTGTTGTTCTCGCTGTTGTTGTTCCTGCTGCTGCTGCTGTTGTTGTTGTTGTTGCTGTTGCTGTTGTTGTTGTTGTTGTTGCTGTTCTTGCTGCCGCTGCAGCTGCTGCTGTTGTTGTTGTTGTTGTTGGGCACGCCGCCGAGACTTCTGGCCATGTCCCCGTCCCGGTCCCGGTGCAGGTGCAGGTGCAGGTGGAGACCGCCTCTGCTCCTGTGCCGCAGCAGGGGCTGCTTGCAAATGTGGGGCGACAGGTAAATATCCAATACATTGCCGTCGACTGTTCTAGTTTTACCAGAAGTAAATTATGCATGACTTAACTGTTTTCAGTAAAATGCTACTACAGGTGTTGTAAGCGACAAACTTAGACGATGTTCAGCGTTATATGTATGTTCATGAAAATAGTTGCCCGTTAGAACGACGCCTATTCACTATGTATTATATACGCGGTGATTGTACACTTCGTAGATATTTTATTCGAATACGAAACATTCATTTTCTAAAATAGATTTTGTCCACTTCACAGCATGTAGACATGCCACTCCAAATAGTCTCGGCCGGCGTATGCCATAAACCGTGCATATCAATGTTCTTGCGCGAGTATGCCACTTAGTACGTGCACATGCCTTCATGTAGACAACGTCTGTTCCTTAAAGCGTCTGATATTCGATTTATTAATTATATTTATCGCTGATTTATTATAACATTGACACTAACTGTACAAAGTTAAACTCAAAAAGATCAGCATTGTACAAGGATTACCTTGTGGAGCTGGTGGCGGAGCGTCAGGAGCATCCTGCGAAGAACCGGGTTGCTGTTCGGCAACTATAACCACAGCAAATCAGGATCACGCAAAAAGTGTAACTTCTGTTCATACTGCGAGACCATACTACAGAAAGTGTCATCTCACAGAGAATGATATAATAAATATCTCTAAATTTTAATCTGCCAAAGCGGAGACGTATGCAGCAATTTATATTGCCGTAATATTGTGTTGGCATACTGTATATCTGTCTGTTGTATTGATATTAGTGTTATGCAGTTTAAGAGTCAAGAGCCAAAAATTTATACACAAAAAAATTGATAGATCAGCATTTTTTTCCAGCATAAAACCACTTCCGAGTTCCGCATGCATAAACGCCATGCACATCCAACAGACGCTTTTAAATGTGAAGAAATAAAGCTTCCAAATAAACTCGTGTGTTCACTCCGCGAAAATCCCTCATCGTAACTAACCGTACCCCGAAGCTGCGCAGTATCAAAATACATAATACAACAGAGTTGTTACATGCTACTTTTTGTTTGCTAGTTTTGTGTTATCGTTCGTTAGGTGCTACGGTTTATGTAGACTATTCTGTACAATATAATGTATAGAAAGCTAATCGGGTACGTCTCTCATTTTCAGCATAAAGCTAAGTCTACAGAGTAAGACTTTTTTTTTAACCAAACGCTTAGCAAATACCGAATTCATTTAATACTTCACCTATTCGTTTAACTTATGTTTTAGCCTAAAACTACCCTATTTATTGTAGGTCATAACCTAGATCCCATCTGAAATGGCTTCCTTTGAAAAATACATAATTTAACCGGGTTTTTCAAAAGATGCTCAGAACATCCTGAACTGATACTGAAATTGGAATTGCTACCAAGTGCTAGCCGCAAATTCTTTCTGAAACGGTATTAAAACGCCCGCCAATACACAATGGCCGACTCTCATTATTTTGACTATGCTATGCTTTCACAATCAATAGCACATGTTTATCCTACGTACGACTTACGAGATTGTTGAGATAAGATAAGGATTTCTTACACTTCTCCTTGTTGATGCAATTCATCAAAAGGAAACAATAAGTACGGTACTTAACGGCTATCTAAACACTAACAAAGATAGCAAATTGTGACCACACCTTGCCCAGTTCTGCGCATGCCACGCACGCTTTTGCCGTGACCTGATCTTTTTGCCATTCTCCGGCCTCCACGGAACTGTGGCTACGAATCAAATACCGTACAAGTTGTTTAACGTTCTGTAATCGATAGATAACACCACAACAAAGGAACATAGCAGTTTAAATCACAAAATGAGGCGCTTACCTTCAATAGGAGTGTCGCGAAAACTGATCGTAGCTACTCCTGGTTGATAGTTCTGTGATGATTACCCTTTTTGACACTAACAGTATACTGCAGAATAAAACTAGCCGACTAAAATTTTTTCTTTATTTTGATTTGTGTATTTCTTCGGGCCATCCCAAAAAATACTACTTGCAGCACACGTGGAGCTATCCGTTCACTCTGTGATAGCGCCTGCACCAACAAATACAGGGGATCAAAAAAACGAAACTGTTTGTTGTCGTTAACTGTTGTTATTACATCGGCCGACCTTGTGCAGAGCTGAATACGACGAGTTTGAGTATTCAGCGGTAGCCACTCCAGTGAACTGATACAGATGTTTCAAGCGATAATGAAGCTAAGCCTATGAAAAAATTCGGTTACAAATTAAAGTTATAGCTACAAATGAAAATTGTAACCTTTTCGCTGAGGCATAACAGAGCCAATTGTCTTGAGGTTAAATATTTTATCAATAGCAAACGCTTGCATTCTTCTGGTCGTTGCTGTTCCCACAATCGAGCGCTTCGAGAGAATAGGCTAACAGTCAGCGGAAGCGCTGAACCTTTTCAAAATAACAGCTCGTAGCTCGGCCTTGATCGCTAATACGCGATTATTATCCGAATTAAGCACAACTGCAAAAGGAACCACGGCTTAACATAAATAGACGAAATATTTCTAGAATCAGATCGAACCGATTCTAGAAATATGTCGTCTATTTCGAAATCAGGGCCTTACTGGCCGTGTCCACCTATTTTTTTATAGTGGCAAACGTGTAAGCCACGTAGCAGCATGCCGTTCTCTGGATCATGGTTAAAATCATTTTTTGCTCGCGTTGGTTAAAATCTTTTGTATAGCATACGAGAACGGCTGCTAGACGCTCGTAGTTGCCCGATAGTGGAGTCACGTTAAATAAAAATTTGCCCCGTTAGGATAGGTCGACTGTATTTCTTGCTCGGTATAATCTACATATTTGTACGAATACTCACTTGGTAAGAATCCTGTCAGGCTCTTCTCATAGCCTAATTCGGAGCTTTCAATCTCTATTTTTAGGTCACCGAAGCGTGTCTACTCCGAACGAGCACAAAACCAGATCGTAGCGTATTGAGCTATTCTTTGCAAACAATGATACGGCACGATAGATTTTAGGGCAAATTTAGGCCTTACTGCCTGCTTCTGTTTTAGCGTAGTCACTCTACTCCGCGAGAATTCTATTTGCATCACAACGTGCTTATTCCTTCACTGCAAAGTGATCTTAAATCTCGTCCGACACGGACACACAAAAATCGTTTGTACCTGTAGAACGCCTTAACAGGGCGTGTGAGAGGGAACTGGTGGCGAGGGTAAAGAGAATCTGTAGAAACTAAATGTGGCGTGGCCATCGCCAAACTGAACGTCCGATGTATAATTCCGAACAAAAGTAACATGAATTAGCTGAAAAGAAATGAATTGACATTTTGCATTATGGCAACGGAACTTAACGGATATCTACGATATGTTGTTGCGTAATTACTTTACGGTAAAACTTACATGTATAGATAAAGGAGAAATAGCTATCAGATTGATATTAACTTCTATTGATATTAACTTAATTTCTTCTATAAGAAAAAGCTCATTCGGTAGAGTTTAACTGGGAGTTTAACGGTGGTAGAGAGAATCATCGTATGATTTATTTCCACCACCAACTGTGAGTACAGTTCACTGCATATATTGTCGCTAGGTAAAACCAAAATGTTTGCTATAAGTGATATTTTATTTTTCTTAGTCAACTAATCTTTAGAATGAAATGCCATAGTTTCGAGTAGACTTTAGTTAAAAGCAAACCTGTTCGTATGACTTTGTACCTGCTAGCGTTAACTTCAATGACGAAACCGGCGTAACTACCAAAATTAGACTAAGCCAAGAACCGCAACTCAGGTCTTTCATGAGCGTCCTACAAATAGTACATGTCGTTTATTTGATCGTTCCATTGGGTCAGTGATATTTAGAGTGATAGTGTATCAATAAACTCAATATAGACAAAGGCAGGAATTGTTCTACACAGTGGCCAACACAACGGCCAAACAGTCGGCGAAAAGGGAAAGAGATCGACCAAATTGCTTTTTTTTCTGGTGCAGCGATTGTGTGTCGTTTATGTCTTAAGCTAGAACCTGGCTGTACGTCAGCATAGCAGAAGCTGTGGACACTTCGGCCATACTGGCATCGACACGTAGGGCACTTTGCCCTTCCCAAGACGAGCGAAATTCAGCTCCAATCACAAAATCCACTTGCTTACGCTAGAGCTATTTAACAACAGCTTTTCATGCTATACATATAATTTCGTCGCAAACAGCGAAGTACATTCGCTTTTTTATTTATTCGAATACGTGTTGAATTATAGCGAAGTTATCAATACGACAAGCGATAGCGTCTGACACAAGCGGTCCGGACCAACCGCCGCCATAGATTCACGTTTTGACACAGACTTAAGTCGGTACGTGAGTGAGACCGATCTATAATAGTTGAGCCCAATGCTGCCAAATTATCACGGATAATCATTCGTTCACCGAGACCCGGTGAATGGTTAATACGCATATGGTATTTTCTAAGCAGATCGAATCTTTTGCATTGGCAGCCAGTTTCAGCCTTGGCAAATATGCAACTGTTGACATAAACAGTGAACTTATTTGCTAGTTAGTGGGTCAAGAGTAACTTGATCATTTAGCTACATCAAAAGCATTCAGATTAGACGCTTGTACGCGTTTCGGGTATGAAAACTGTTGATTGGTTTCGAACGCGTATTTAGCATCGTCATACAAAACCTACCAATGCACGTAGCAAACCAACGTGTATGTTGAGCATGTCATATTTGACCTGTCTGGTTTCATTCCACGCACTTGTCGTAAAAAGTCATTGTAGCAATGTGTGTATAATTGATGTGTAACCACGTTTAAGTACGGTTATCGCTGATTGCTGCGTAGCAAACCATGACTTACTGGGCAACACTTGAACGCAATCACCATCAAGATACCGTTATCTTATCTCGTGTGGTTACTGGCTGTTTTTCGACAGCTCTTTATTTTCGCCGACCAGCCTCTAACAAAAAGCTGACAAATGCATTTAGCATGCAAGTATCTTTCAGATAGACCATCGCGATAGATTCAAGCTATTTTTAATAGAGCTCCAGTAGCCACCTTGGATGAGTTGGAATGTTCTTGTAACACCTTTCATTCATGGTGATCTCTGACCTGAACGGAGGTAATCGGATCTCTCAAAGACGAAAATTAACGCTACAGATGTGTCCCGCTATCTTCCAGGGTTGATTGATGGACCTCGGCACTAACGACCTTAGAAGAGGTTGCTGTACCTAGATATGACTAATTTGAGTAAGTTCATACGCGAACTTTCGACCCGGATTTCAAAAGCTTAGACAGGTTGTTCTATTATGTAAAACACTAGCTACGTTCTTGTCATTGAACTTAACTAGTGGCTGTGATTGTGCCCTCCGGTCTTTGTTAGTGCTAGATTATTTCTATTCTATGAAATTGATGGATCCTTTACTTGGTCCACATTTACATACTGTTATACAGTGCAACTTCTAGTGATACTGTTTGATATATAACGTCTTACGACACACACCGTTGACAATCTTAGATATGACACTGGCAGTGGGCTGGCGACAGATACGTGTTGCAGTTGTAAATGTAAAACTGTAAGCAATTTCGAAATACAAATAGTCTGGCACTGTTTATTACTTCTCATTTCGAAGTCTAAGGGGAATTTATTTTAAACTTTACTGTCTCTCGCTAATCATTACTATTATTATGATTTATTTTAATCGTCATTAGTATTACTTGCTTGAGGAGACGACGTATATATATTTTCATAGACAGACCTATCTCAAGACGGGCCAATAACTTAGGATGTATCTATATCTCTTCGTTTGAAATTCAAGAAAACACACGTCACGAGTGGTCCTTATGCCACCGATGATGTGAAATGTCAGACAGTAGATAAAACAAGGGGCATGCATAATACAGTTTGGTTCTGTAAGAAACGCCTGAGATTATTTTTTATCAAGGTTTCTATTGTTCTGTTTTTAGAGCCCGGTAAAATCTACATAATATCGGTTTATTTTTAAATGTGATTGAATAAACAAAGCGTATACCGTCATTTTCTTTATACTACATGGCGAAGTAGTCCTGAGATGAGTGATTTGTAAAATTTCTGTTCCCACAGGTTTGTGAAATTTAAGCCTATTGACTATATAAGCCTGTTGCCAATAACAGCTTAACGGACGAATCAGCGGTATGAACATATCCTGAATAGTGCCTCAATATAACAAAATTGATAGAATTTATTTTCAAGGTTTCTTTTTTTAAAATAAAAACTTATAACAATATGCAGAGTTGGGAGATATTTGCATAGTTAGAAGAGAAATTGTACCTTTTTACTTTAGATTCGTTAAGTTTAAAAGTAAATATTTCCTTCAAAAATTTGTTTAATATTTACATAAATTAAAGATTAGTGTTATGTTTTTGTCGTCGCTAGTTATGACCTTCCAAAAAATAGAACAAAACCTTGTCTATTGTCACGAAGTATGGAGAATGTGCAGAAACTTTCTAGTTGATCAAACTCTTGCAAGGCAATGTCAACGAATTTCTCAATGTTTGGCTTGATGTTTTCATAACTACGGGTAACCAACAGACAGTCCTTTCGAGTGGACCGACAAAGAAGAGATACATTCTAAAACTATTATATCAAAAAATTAATGTCCTGCCTAATAGATCAGGCGCTGATTTTACATAGAATTTTTTTTTACGATCGTGGTGGTACCCGCTCATACAGCAGCCCTAGCTTACGTGATCTAGTTGTGATGTTTGCATGTCAACTATCCTTCTTGTTTTCATGTATGCTGTGTTTTCATTAGGCGCCTGCTTCAAAAAGCAGCGCCTTGATCTCCTTTCTTTTTGAAACGTGAAACAAGCGAAGACCCAATCTGGCTACTAAGAGAGCTTTCGAAATGGTTTGCTAGCTCTTCATAGCACGCCACTGTTTCAAACACCAGACCGCCATCACGGACATACGACAGTGACAAGCAGCAATGGGATCAAAAACGAGCCATATACAACTTTTGAAATACTTGATTTGTTTTCATTTATCTAAAGTATGTTGAGACAAAAAAAAGAAAGGGTTTTTAATGCCGGTCCATATAAAAACTCTATTGCTTTCTTAGTGGATTCTTTGGAAATTTCCAAACCTTATGGCAAATTAACTGTGTTCATAATTGACTCACCTAAGCTTCTAGAGGCTTGAAAGCCAACTCTAGATATTGCTGTGCTATATGACAAAGTTGTTGAGTTCCCTACGCATGAATTGATCGACTTGGCTTGATGTTTACAGCTTGTTGGCTGGCCACGAAGGTCCAGGGCACGATACCCTTACGATGCAGTTGAATTCTAGCGCTATTTGTACTCGTTCGTAAATTAAGGATGTTACTGTCTATGCGCGCGAACGGGACACAAAAGAGCTTAGAGCTGTGCAACTATATATTGGACGAGTCTGCATTGACTAGCGTATATCCCATACAAGTCCATATTACGCTTATGTATTTATACTTTAACAACTCATCAGTAAAATCGTTTAGCACTGAGGATTGTCATTGATTTCTTATTCCAGTTTATACCACCATCAGCGGCAGCATCACCAGCGGCCGTATCTTCTGCAATAATAGTTGTATACATGTGGCTGTCTGTTTGTTTATCATATGTATCTGTGCTACGCCTGACGCTGCTACTCAAAGGTTCTACTGCTACTTTTTCAACAGCTATCGTTGTCATAGTGCAGCTGGGTTCGACTGTCTGTGTCTAGCTTCGTTAGCTGCTGGCGACTAGGCAGGCGCTAGTTCGGCGGCTACGTCGTTTCCTGTTATGGTCCGGGCTCCTCAGTCTGTCGTTGCGGGCGACTTCTTTTGGCGCAAGGCACCGTCGTGCGAGCAACGTGGTGCTGCTGAGCGGTCGGCGGCGATCGGTAATCAGTGAGGCGCCGAGGCCCCCTGTGTGATAAAAGACAATCCAGTCCTGTTTGGTGCGATACAAAAAATAAAGGTCGAGTGCAAGTCGCCATTGCGTCGTGCAACGGAAGTCTGTGCGTGTGTAGGAGAGAGAGATAGAGAGAGAGAGAGAGAGAGCAAGCGAAGAGTTTCTCTTTTGTCATCATTGTTCAGATTGTCCCGGAGATTGAAACCAGCGACGTTGACCGCAGACGCTTGACACCATGTCGGAGATGCACGAGGAGGAGCAGACATGCCGAATTGAGGCTGTCGTCACCAAGTACAAGACCGCGGGTGAGATCGTCAACCGCACTCTAGTCAAGCTCATTGAGAAATGTGTGGCTGGAGCCTCGGTACTCGACCTGTGCGAATTCGGCGATAAAGCGCTCACCGAAGAAACAGCAGCGGTTTTCAACAAGAGCAAAGATATCCGTAAGGGTATTGCATTCCCTACTTGTATCTGCGTTAACAATTGTATCTGCCATTTTTCACCGTTGAAAAGCGAACCCCCCGTCGTTCTGGCCACTGGCGACGTCGTCAAAATTGATCTGGGCGCACATATCGATGGTTTTATTGCGGTCGTCGCGCATACGCTAGTTATCGGCGCCACAAAAGAGAATAAGGTAAGAACAGAACGGGACACCTAGTGTTCCTGACTGATAGAACGATAATGATTAAGAGGTGTACAGATGGGACTGCTTTTCCCATTCATAACCTAATTAGCAGAGCCATGTTCAATGAGCTGAGGTCTGCTGCTGATCCAAGCCGTTTAACAATTCAATGACGCTGTCCCCTGGATGTCCCAACCAGCAAACATATGGAGTTGAATGGCGTCGATTGACGGAAATTAAGGACCTCTAGGTCTTTGAATGACGATCGCTTTATTGTCTTACAGCCTGACTTACTGGCTGTTTTGTAGGTGCGCTACTGGCTCCGTTTGTAGTGGCAATATACAGTCTGTGTACGTACATGCCTGGCCCATGCATTAAACTGCAATCTAAACAAGTGGCCAGTTACTTTCTCTAGGCGTTACGCAGAGTATTGCTTGGCGCCAAAAACAAGTATACGGGATATCTAATTGAACAAGCTAAAGTATCTCGTTCGTAGAACTTGTTGTGTCTTTTGCAAAAGTTTGATTCCAGCCAGCTCAAGCTATTCTAGGCTGGACAAGTTGTCCAACACGGATGAGACAGACGATCGAAGCTGCTGTTTGTAGTCAGGGATCGGAGCTACCCTCTGTGTGGTGTGCGCCTATTTACAATGCTGACGTCTGATCTAATATCAACATCTGCTCGCTCAAGGAATAATCTTTGCATACGCCTTGTCCACAGTACAATAGTGGGGATATCATGGATATTTTTAAATCATAGTGCCGTATTGCTAGCGTACGCATCAAATGTACAAGTATTGTAGAGTCCTGGGTGGATTTGTCAGACCGATGCAGGAACAGGGTATATTTACCAATATAAAAGTTGGTACTAGTGAAATGACGTTTCAGTTATAGGCAGAAATTGAAAACAATTCAGCAACGTTGCTAACTAGAAATAAATGATCGATATGGAAATTAAAAGTCGGATTAGGTAGTTTAAGTGGTCATGACGCTTGGGTCGCATCCTATGTGGTTGTACACGGCTGAACGGCCTTCCGACTTACAATTATCATCAATCATGAAAAGATCAGGGTTTTTGTTCTAAGTAATGAAACGGTCGTTCTTTCAACCTTTTTCTGCAATGCCTTTCGGAATGGGTAACGTAGCTCAGTCACTACAGTCATATTCTATGTACGGAGTTCGTCGTGAAAATAGTTACGTGTTTGTGTTCTCACACAGGCTCAACGGTATAGTCCAGAAGACGATCATTTGCTGTTTTACGTTCGTTAAACCTTACTTAGCAAACCAATTTTTCCAACTTTTGGCCATGAGTAAACTGTTGCTTAAACCAATTAGGGGGCACTCTGCGCTGCGAACGTCCGCACATAAATTCCCAAATTGATACATGCTGTAGGCTTGTAGACCGTAATTCGGAGCTGTTCAAAACTGTTTTTTTAACACCGTCATGGTAAAATGTGTACAGACAAACACCAATTAAACCTTGCAACTATATCTTGTACGGTCTGTTTCATGCAGGCAGTACCATGACAGCTTTAATATTTAGTATTTTGCGCTAGTGTGTCACACCTAGCTAACGCATGGTTTAAGTGTTAATATAATAATCTGCTTTCCTTTAATAGATATTTAAATGATTCATCTTCAGTCAGTCATACTATTGAGCAGCGAAAACGGGCTTGGTCCTAATTCGATCGATCAGTTAAGATAATTGCAACGATCTTGTCCTACTTTTTAAATTACTACATTCTGTCTTGTACTAATTTATTTTGCACCTTTTTTTTTTCAATCTTCATTATGACGACACAAAAATGCTTTTCTCACACGATGCGAGCGAACTGATATTGGTTGTTTCATCGACTGGTGTTAGGCTCTGTACTAGTACAAATCTATTTATTTATTTATTTATTTATTGCTGTCCTTACAAAAAGAAATTGTGCTAGAATTCCGTTGTACTTGCTATTTTTTTTATTCATCTAGGGCACGGCGTATCACTGAAGAGAAATAGAACTAATACTAAACTACTTTAGCTATATCGAGTGCGGCAATTATATCTGCCAAGTATATTCAACTTTTCCATGTATGAAGAAGCTAAAAGAGGTTGTAGGCTATGCGAACAGCGCACTTAAACTCACTATACGTATATATATACAAATACGGGTTTATAGGAACATCGTACGTGTACCGATGCAGATTGGTCGCGTAGGTAGGGTTAGCCTTTGAGCCTACGGTACTGACACAAGAGTAATCTGAAATCCTCGTTTTTTTCTGAGGCATAACAATTTCTTTATGATTTTTAGGCGACAGGAAGGAAGGCAGATGTTATTTTGGCTGCCCATAAATCGATCGAGGCTGCTCTTCGTCTCGTGCGACCGGGCGGAATAAATTCTAAGGTCACCGAAATTACTCAGAAGGTATCATACCATTATTTCAACTAGGCACGTAGGCTTATTTAGATGTATCTTCTAGCCTTAACAACAATGTCCGAAGCTTTCACTGAATGAACGCTTTTTTGCCTTTCAAGACCCTGTGTAACGCGCTCATAAACGCAAAATTTAATGCCTACCCATAGTGTTTTTGACAAAGTGACGTTTCCCATAGAAACTCATTATGCTATTAAGACATCCGCTTTAGCGTTGAACCTTTCCCATCTAATCGGTGACCAATTCTTCATTGTTGTTTTTCTATCTGTACAAGGTGTGCGAAGCATACAAATGCCTTCCAATCGAGGGAATGCTATCTCACCAGCTCAAGCAACATGAAATTGACGGCGAAAAATCAATTATCCAGAATCCCAGTGATGCTCAGCGCAAAGAGCACAAAGAATGCAAATTCGAAGAGTACGAGGTATACGCGCTGGACGTCCTCGTCTCGACCGGAGAGGGCCGTGGCAAAGAGAAAGAATCTCGGTGCACCGTATTTAAGCGTACGGAACATGTTTACAAACTAAAGATGCGGGCCTCACGTGTGTTCTTCTCGGAAGTTGAGAAAAAAGCTTTCTCGATGCCATTTACACTGCGAGCGTTCGAAGATGAAGCTCGTGCGCGACTGAGCGTCGGCGAGTGCGTACAACATGCTCTACTTGACCCATTCCAGGTTCTGTTCGAGAAGGAGGGTGAATTGGTTGCGCAATTTAAAACGACGGTGCTCTTAATGCCCAACGGATCGGTGAAGATCACGGGGGTGCCATTCGACCCATCGTTATACCAGAGCAATCACAAGATTGAAAATAAGGAGGTCCTTGACATCCTCAAACAGAGCTACTCGAGCTCAAACAAGAACAAGAAAAAACCTGCAGCTGCCGTAACTCCCAAGGCAGACGAAGCAGGTGATAAGAAGTAGATTGAGAGTACTGACAAGTAAAAGACGGGAAAAACGACAAGAACGCAGATATACAAAACTTAAACCTATCAAGAATATCGAAAGCATGCAGACGTACATCTGTATGCCGCCAAGGGAAGAATGCCGATCTTCGCGCATCTCACCCGTAGTTTTTCGTGTGTGGGAAGATAGAGATGAAAATCTAAACGCTTTGGTACGCGCCAATATTGAAAACCGCACATTGGCGCAGGCTAGCGCTTATTATTTTGTAATGGCCAGACGAGACGTAACTGCAATTAGTGAGGACATGAGCTATGATTTATATATGGTGGTATTACTATTGTTGGATAACAATAAAAATAAATGATGATTGTGACTTATGGGGAATTACATCACCTGCTATATAGTGGGGTTTGCACTGGAAAGTGATGGATTTGATTAAAAAGTGAGCAGACAGAAAACATTGGAAAGGTAGAAAAATCTATTAAGGATATTGGTTAAAAATAGGTTGTGTGGAGGGAAACTTCAATTGGATAAATGGATGGTTGCACGGACGGGATAAGCGATGCGATATACGTATTGTATTCGCCGTGTCTTTATCATTGCGTCATTATTAACAGCACCATCGTCAGCAAAAGCAGTAAATGGTACGTCAACAAAATGTAGCAACTCATCGATTTATGACGAATTGTAATGGCTCAGCAAGCAATTTTGCTTTCTGCCACGAGTTAGAGGTAATCTTTTTAGTGGTAATGTGTTCACGAATTCTCGCTTGTGCTAGTTAGCAGGGCCAAGGACCATTAGCGCCCACATCATCATCATCATCATAGTACGCTGATGACGATTTGGTCTTAGGAGCGACCCGCCAGGTTCATTGGCGGTTCATTGGCGATGGTTACAACTACGCAGCAAATAGCAAAAGCAACAACAACAACAACAACAACAACAACACCAACAACAACAGCAGCAACAACAGCAACAACAGCAACAACAACAACAACAACAACAACAACAAGGACACACGGCCAGTCAAAATAATATCGATAGCTTGATACCGAGCTATATATTTGATGTGTAAAATAAAAGCATCGATTTTTGGAAGAAAAACGGCATTTCAGTCGTTTTGTTACTTTAGTGCTATGGCCATCAGGCAAGGCTTTCGTCAAGGTTAGGAAGAGTCAAAAAGGATTTTTAGGAGTATTCACTCTGCTCACATTCGATCTCATATGTATAAGATAGTGTCCATGACATGACTGCCGATGAAATCCAATAGTCTGGCAACCGTTATAAGATATCAAAATCTAACAAAAAATATAACTAGTTTACTGATTTAGACCTAGATTCATTAGGAAATAAGTTGTCAATTACTGATAGTTAGGGCCATGCTAAGTATTGGTAGACAACCTTGTCTGACGGAACGCCTAACGGCGATACTGGACGTAAAAACATACAGGCAGCTTAAACTCGTAGAGAACCACAGCTTTAAAATCCATTTTCACTTTTTCTGGGAATTGATTTCTTCGCATTGATGGAAAAGCTCTTCTTGGTGGAAGCGAGCTGTCGGTATCGCTATTTCTTACTTTGTCTTATGGGCTTGCATACCTCTATGGGTACTATTCTGAGTTGCAAAGTGTGCACACATAATTGTGTGGCTCTTTTATTATAAATCGCTTGTACAAACCCAGTAGAAACACTATTTCAACGTTTAAATAGTTCGTGGAAGTTCGAACGACTGAAATGAAAGCACGGTATTAATTATATTTAAATAGTTTTATTCGCCGGTTATCGTATTATCGTCTTTTCCATTTGTGAAGAGTGCTCCCTTTTCTTGAGTAGTGCTTTTACTTTATCCTAATTTTCTTTTCACACTCTATATTCGCTCAGGTTTCCTATTATTTTATTTCTATATTCAAATTTTATTTCCTATAGTTTTCAAAAAATCCAGTATTCCATCACCTGTACTTATTCATCAACGTTTGCGCTACCGTTCTAAAGTGCTAAAATCGCAGAAATGTTACAAAAATACATGCAAGCGTACCCATAGCTATATCAGTCTTATGCATGCTTATTTTATTCATATACATATATATGTGTGTGTGTATGTATGATGATTTTGTATCACAATTGAAGTTACGTCGATAAAAGCTGTCAATAAATGGAACTCTACGGTAAACGGCGTTAGAGCGTCTGCCTATGCAGTGGCGTAACGAAAGAAAGATTTACATTTTGAGTAATAAAATTACTGAAAAAGGGTAGATTATAATTATTAATTCGAGCTGGTTGTAATTGTGCATTTGTAAGTCTGTAATTCAATAAGAACTATGAAATATTAAAAAAAATGTTAAGGAAACGCGCTTTTAGCAAACCAGCTGGCTATTCTTTTTCATCTAGAATGGAGTAACAGAATCTTTTAAGTTTTTATAATTTATGTTTCCGTCGATGTAATTAGCCAAACGGCGCGGGTATTATCATTATTTTTATTGACTTATTTGTCCTTAACTAAGGAAGTAAACTTTTAAGTTTCTTAAGAGATTTTCATACCTTTTACTACCTATACTTGACCTTAACGCATACAGATACACATACATGCTAACAAAGTAATTCAATAGTAGTAAAATTAAACCTATCTACAAACATGTAGAGGAAAGGCAAAAACGTATTTTCAGAACCACCATATTGATCGACTAAACAGCCCAGACATGTGTTATTTGTGATGTTCTTGTGAAGGCCTGTTCATATACTACAACCTCATGTTTTTTGCATGTGCTGAAAGAACGTTGTTGTTTTCACTTTCAGTGAATCTCTTCTCTGACTCGCTGTTTACATTCGTTTTATACTGCTTTGGATGCTGTCGCTCTCGTCTTTCACTAGTTTCTTTCTTCCGGATAACTATGTTGTTGTTGTTTACGTTATGTATACTTCTGCGATCTCATCTATGTGGTCTATTTGTGATTTGAACATTTATGTACAAAATTTGCTTATATGTAGCATTCTTTACTTTTGCAACGCTATCAACTCACTCCAACAGTAGAGTATAACATTTGGTTTGGAAAAATCTTCTGTTTTGCCTTGTCTGCTGTCCAATTATGGCCGTCGTATGCTCCCCTTTAGCGCATTTCATTTACCCAGCCCTTTTTAAATAAAATGGCATCTAACTTTTTAGTTTTGGGATTCGGCATGTGCAAATGTTATTACTTGCTTGAAAAAAAGGAAAATGCAAGCGTTCGTAGAGTAATACAGAAAAAGCACCTTTGCTATTTTTTCCTGATATTGATTGAGATGACGACTAGAGTCACGGGGCGTTTTGTGACGCTTTAGCATTTCACTGCCAGCGAGCTTACACGCTATTTCTACGATGGCGTTGTTCATTAGATCAGGTTCGGGTGACTCATCAGTAATTAAACTTATTACGATGCCACCAACATCCAACAGACAACAGAATAAAAATTAGGAGCTCCTTACGTCGATTGAATTTCAGCAGTTATCGCTGCTTCGTTCTTGTTACCTAAAAGCTGTAACGATCCCTTATTACTGCAGCTCTTTCTATATGCAAAGGAGAGTATTACTAAGCTTCTCGTTTGTTTACTCAGCCTACGGACACATCACGAGAAAGTGAGTATAGCGATCCTAAAACCTTCTTTCCACAGTCTGGCCAATGCGTTGTCCATTTAGATAAAACCTACGAGTACAGCTGATGCCGTATACTGCATATTTCGTTTGATAAACAGTTTATAGCTTGACCTCTCCGTAACAAACAATAACTCATTTTCATTGACACCTATTTTTGCGCCAATTTTTACCATCTCATCTAATCATCATCAAAACTAAACTTAGGCTTCCTTTTTATTTGGTTTTCATTTGTGTACGTTGGACTGAAATTTAAACTACTAGTTATTTTTATTGATGCTGTTTTCCTTTGGGTTATTTAATTGAAGTCCGTTCAATTATTGTTATGCAACTACAATACGTATAGTGATTAATTCACCTTGTCTCTGTACTGACGTATTCGGCTCAGTCTACTTGCGCCAATATTGCGCCCATTTGTGAAGAGATTCCACGACGACGGCCATGACAGCTGAGACAGACGAATCGATAAGGCGCTGCATTTCGGAGACCGCTTCTTCGTCTGTCATCTCAAGCATGAATTTGTCCTGAACCTTTTTGGCAGTCTTGTCGGGTTCGAGAGCAATGTCGGGCACGCTGGCATCCACCATAAGAGAGAACAAATTAAGAATAAGGTTAGCGTGACGCCGAAGATGTAGGAACGTGGTATAGCATTGTTTTTTGAACTCGTTATAATGCTCCGCATTCACGCCTCCCATTGCTTCGACCATTTCACGACTAAGTTTCATCGGTGGAGGCAAAGGTTTCGGATCCCGACCGAGAATGTAGCCAAAGTCGATGTGGAAGAGCTGACCACGTTTGGTGAGTAGTAAGTTGTCCAAATGGCGATCGCCCACGCCCAAAAGGTACGTGATCACGCAATAGCCAGCTAAAAAATGTGTGGCAAAAGAGAATTATTAAAAGTATGTTAACGTACACATATCAGTATATTACCCTCACTACCGACCGTAAACGTTCTTTATTTCGTTTAGGTATTATTAGTTCGCTTCTTATCACTTTTCTAGCGGTTGTTTTTCCTTACTAACTTGTTTTATCCTTTCCGACTCAAAAACGTTTTCGAATGTATTGTCTGGTGTTACCCTTAAGCAGCAAAATCCTTTCTGACTTCAGCCACTGCGCTGTGGGACTTGTTGTTACGATACCCATTGTAGGTCTAATATCCATAATATCAGTAATCGAAATATGTTTTAAGAGCGTCAAAGTGTCTCCATGAAGCAAAGGGTCGCCTAAAAATTCGGGTGCAGTTCCTGTGTAAGCTATAAAAGATCACAGAGATGTCACTATTAAACACCTTGAAATCATCGACATCTGTGTGAAGAGGAGAGAAGCTTACCGCAGGATTTCACATAGTTGTCCATTACTTCGGGATCGATTCCGTATGGCCCGTTTGAATTAGGTGCACATTTTTTGAAGTAATTCTGAATTGATCCTTCTTCTTTCAGCACGTCAGCTACCGTTCGAGACTCGACGTACTCGACGAAGCCATGCTGGGTTGAAGTCGCCAACACACAATATGGTGTCAACTGAAGGTCCAAATTTTCGCGTCGAAGGAGCTGTGTTTTATGAAAAGTTGACGATTTAGAAGAATCTATATTGGAAACAGTGCATCTATTGTGAACTGCCACCGGTGTCGCTGCTCGCCATTCGGCACAGATTGCCTGAACTTATATTACTAATTGTAATAAATACCTGAGAACTCACAAGTTGTTTTGCATTTACTGTGAACTTTCGTCATTAAGACCTATTAATAGCTATCGATCGAATCTCAGATTTACTGAGTTCATAATAACATACTATTGAAAATATATACATATTAAAAAGAAGAAGTACAAAATTAAATGTGTGTGGTACAATTAATTTGAGAAGCAGTGAATAACAAAACAGTGATTTCTAAAAAAAAAATAGACTAACCTTATCCATAAGAGAGATTATTTGCAGGATAAGTTGGTCCTGCCGAAGATCGTCACCGTGCTTAAATATCGCGACGTACTCCTTTCCGACATCCGTTAAAAAGGTTAAGCGACAAGGCATAAGGGCACTCTTAAATAGCGTCGCCTCTTCAGCCACGATTGCTTTAACACGCACTTTTGGATTTAGCGGCAACGCAAGACTCTCAGGAAAAACTAGTTTTGACTTTTCCGGATCGCTCAGCAAGGCTCTTAATTTCTCGATCTGCATATTTGTTTTTCGTTAAAAAAAAAACAATGACAAATATTAGGCATAGTTCGACACGAAGATTTGCATTGGACGACCAGGGAATCTCGTGTTTCAATAATAGAAGCCAGTTGACAATTTGAGGGTGTTTATATCCGTTAGAGCAGCAGGAGACGCGCAAACTATAGCATTTATTGCAATATTTTAAGGGGATTTGGTCACTGAAGAGGCTTCAACCAATAGGTGACTTGATTTCCTTCCCTTTCTCTCTCTAATATATATAGAGCCACAGCTCGAGACCCGTATACGGTTCAGTCGTTTTCATTACACGAACCGGGTTGCCAAACAGAACAGACACGATGCAAAGCTCGAAGATCTGCTTCATAGGCGAGAACAAATTTCCTGAGAACGTTAGAGAACGGATTGGCTGCCAAAAGACAAAGCTCGCGGATTTACATTGTTGACTTTATCATACACTGGAATCTACCTAATTGTTGTTTTGGTCGCTTAAAGCCGTCTCCGCGAGGCAATCGCTTTAGTCCGAGTTCTTGTAAACTAAGGGTTTTATCTGAGCATAGTTTGAGCATTGAGTTGGACTGGTCAGTAGGATGTTCGAAATAGGTTTCACTGGGTATTTCTTTTGCTAATTTCAGACAAATTTTAGGGTTTTTTGGACGACTTGTTCCGTGATCATCCAGGATTTTTGTAATGTTTATATGAAGAAACCTTAAGGTGTTTTTAGAAAAAATACAAATTTAAAAGGAATGGCACAATATGAAAAAGTAGTTTACGTAATAATTGAGAAACCGATTAGTTGCAATAAGAAAGAAAAAAAGGTGGTATTAAATATTGTTGATAACCGTATTCACCTTATCAACAAGGTGACACGATGTTGGCTAATTACAGCTGTGGCAACCATCTAATTGCAACTATATGATAATTGCGACAGCCGAATAACCTGATTTCAACTAAGCAACAAGGTTATTGCGGTATTCCATAGAAAAACAAGAATAAGCATTTTATCCCGTTGTACTGCAACAGGGTAACGGGACCGGAAGAGACAGGGTAGGCGTATTTAGGCTAAGAGTTACGCTGAATGTAACCAATAAGCACAAGTGCACCTAGACAGCTGGGTCACTTTCAGATTAGCTGACGAGGAAATATGTTTGCCATAATAAGATGGCTGTAACGAAATACTAAGAATACTGCAATGGGGTTTCAGCAGAATTAACACAGAATTACCAGAGTTTTGTAGGTTCGCAGTAGAGCGAGAGTTTATTTTGTCAAGTATAACTAAAATAGATTTGTTTATTAACGGTAAAACAGGTAGATATAATAACTGCATCAAGGGAATGGCCTTTTGTTACTTGCAATGGGTGAGCAAGACTACCGCAAAAGTCTAACGAGGTTATTGCAAGACGACACTGTTGGTATATAGTTGAACTATACCTTACAAGCTGGTTGCGGTATCAAATTATCAGGTCAGCTGTCGCAAAATATAGCAGCTTAGGCGAATGTCGCTCAGTTTTGTATACTACAAACCTTCTTTTGGCGGTTGCTACTGTCAGCAGCAATTGGCTTCATGAGATTAACAAGATTTTTGATGAATGAAAGTTGTTTGGCCAGCATCTTCCGTCGCAGGTCTTGCTCTCGGTTACCATTTTTCAGACAAAGGACGAGGCGACGCAGAACATCGGCATACATGTCCGCATAGCTTCGATTTCTTTAATGTAAAAAAAAAGAACGAAAAGGGAGTTATACTCTCTCTGATAATACATTATTGCACATACAAAAAACATAGTTTTAGTCCAATTTGAAACAAATATTGAATTTGGAGGGAGAAACAAATCAACAAAAAGTTTGTTCTTTCGTTCAAAAATGTTTCGCCCAACGAAAATAAAGCGCATGCTTGCAATAGGACTAAATCCGCATTGCGTTCTACCTAAAAAATAAAATAGGAGCAACCCAAAGGTGTATACGGAAGTAACTATTAGGCCGAGTGACCATGTTTGATCAAACAACTACAACATGTAAAGGCAAATTACACCATACAATATCTCATTGTCACTATTACGCCCTAACGTATCATTGAACTGCTAGACGCGTCAAATCTAATAGGAGAGATCTGTTTGCACTAATTTGTACTCCTAGAAGTTTTACAGTCGTTTCCAGTTTATTCGAATGGTTCTTACCCTCCATTGTTATCTTTTCTACCAGCGCTATTGGCCGTTTGGGTTCCACCAGCGGCTCCAGCGTTTGCTCCGGGTGTCCCTGTTGCCACTGGGGCATGATTGTGAGAACCTTCGCTCTCGACAGTCAGGTACCAATAAAGGTAGTTAGCAAGGGTGTCGCTTCGACTGGCTCGCTTGATCAAGAAGCTGGCCAGATCGCGATTGTCCTCGAGGACAGCCGTAATAGCGGCCGCAGCTGCCAGACCCGTGGCACAACTTGAATCATCTTGCGGACCAGCGGCTGTTCCGGGCTGTATTGCCGTTGATCGTTCAATACCAGCAGCGCGATAACGAGAATCTTTCGAGTCAGTATCATTATACTGGTCCCGATAACGATCGTCACTCCGTTCCCGCAAGTCGACTCCTCTATCCGTCCTTCGAACGTCATCAATCGCACTATTTACGGTAGCACTGCTGACGTTGCTTTGCGTGCTTTCCATCAATTCATCAAACCTGGACAATCTGGAATAGCCGAGAAATGCTTTAGGTATTAATAGGCGAGCTTCATTAGCGGGAAGCGTATATTTAGCTATATGTCCTCTTTATATCGTACCCCGAAAATATGCCACGGTCATTGTCAAACTGCCTACACATACGTAGTACAAAAAACATACGCCTGTTTTTTTCTAATTCAAAGATCAATGAACTAACAGATTTCGATAAACTGTATACAATGTAAGAAATTTTGCTCTGGTAAGCTTTTACTCACAAAGGCTGCTCAAGCTGTGAATGTGTACCAGGTGAGATAGGGACGCCTTGTTGCGCACCAGCGTTTGAATTGGAATGACCCGGTGAACCCAAATTTACGTTGGTGCTTGTTACTGTATCGGTATCTTGACCGTTTTGAGTTGAAGGCTCATATTTCAGCGCTTGGACAAGCTGCAAGAGATAAAGCAGAAGGTCTTCGTCGGAGGCTTGTTCGAGCCGAGTCACTGCGTAGCGTCGGACGGCCGTATGTTTAAACTGCGGCCCTGTAAATTATAAGTAAAATATCATTCCTAGGTTGCGTTTCAAATGAAATTATTCTATTAATATTATTATAATATATATATATATATATATATATAAATTATAATTTTCTTTATCCGCTAAGTAAGCGTGATAATATGATCAGTAGCGAACATTCGTTCATGTTTTACAAAATGCTATGAGACCAATCGGAAGTAATTACGCACTTCACTTGGAGGAATACAAGAAAGCAACGTCAGCCAATCAGAAACGCAACGAAAACAACAAATGCCTTTACCTAAAAGTTCGAGGGCGTCTTCGACATCCATGGGTTCCCATTGACGCATTAGTTCGAGGGCTTGAAACGTCTCTTCGTCGACATCCCACCGTACACAATGGACGAACTTAGCCAAAGCTTTCTTTTGATCTTTAAGGTAAAACCTGTAATAGGCGAAAAACCCTTTATTATATTCGAAAGTGCACTGTGGAATAACTTGGTTGGATCAATTTGCTACCTTATAATAAGTAATACAGTCTTGATGACTATTTTAATACTTTACGACGGTACGTGCTTCGGACAAGTGATCCGTGGGCTCGTCTCTCATCACTGAATAAGCTGATGAGGATTTTTTTGTGTGTTAAATGATAATAAGCACCTGAACTTCCATACGAGATCTTGCTCGTCTGCCGTAAGCGGTGTTGTAGAGCACTTGTTGACAATTCGATTAAGCTGATCTCGGATGTTCGCATTTGGCTTGAGATCTTTATCGATCAGCTGGGTGCGTTGATTTCGAGATAATTTATGATGTTTATCCTCTACCAGATTTTCCTGCAATCGAAATAGGCAAACGCTTTTTTGCCTGGAAAGTGTTTTTTTGCTTTGGAAAGTGATAATTGCGCCTTGATAAGTTGTTCAAATATATACACAATTATGGCTCACGCACGTTAACATGCAAAATGTACGCGTTAATGATTTCTCTCACAGATATTACCCATGCTATAAGAAGTGACCTGTGAACGGCACGGCACTTACATGCCAAACATCTGGGTCGAACATGGTGGCTAACTTTGCTTCGCTAGGGCGTGCAGCCGAGTCTTCTTTTGGGGGCCAAGGAAGGTTATTGTGGCATTGTGTGTCAAGATCTTTTTCAAAATATACGACCATATGCTCAATATCATGGTATACCACGCGGGGAAACTCGATCATTAGGAACATCTGGAAGAATGGCATTAACGCAAACAAAAGTCGAGACTAAAAGTTAAAATCGGTAACTTAATTAACGTACTCCGATTTAATCACATTGCTGGTTTCTCCATTTATTAGAATGTATTATATACAAGTAAATGGTACTTTCGTCAAGTTTTCCTCCCTTATTGGGCTACTCTAACTGAACAGTTGTAACTCACTTGCTGCGATTTTTTTTTCTCGTTGTTATTCAATATCTCAATCTCACGGAACGTCAGCCTGTCCATCCAATCTACCCGCGCCATTTCGCCATTATGATGCTTTTTTGTTAACTGAAAATGAATTCAACAGCCATAAAAAGGTATGACAAAGCAAGAAAGCAACCGAACGAAGACAAGGATTTAACTATTGCCGTCATGGAGACGTGTCTTCTTCATCATCAAGGTGACGTCATTTGGTTCAGATGTTTATAGATAAGATGCTGTGCAATTAACTGATACCATTTCCGCCATATGTATGTAATATACCGTAGGGTAAAATAGTCTATAACATATGAAGGTCACGTATATATTTTTCTTGGTCTCAACTGTCGAATTCTAGAAGCCAAGTTTGTATCTCGAAATGAAGACTTTGCTTTTATATCCCGATACCATGATAACAAAAATAAAACCTGTTTTTACCTTTATGAGCCGAGCCATTTCATCTTTAGCACCTGAAATCTTTCCTGGTGTTGACGTCGAACTCGAACCATCCGCTTTTGAGTTCCCCCACAGTTTAAGGTCGTGCATTCCCTGGCGCATCGCACCTAATATTGTAACGCACGGACAACATGAATAAAATAATATGCGTTTATAAAGTATTAAAACTGGAACTTAAAATCGCCTTATGTTTATAGCAAATTTCCCTATAATTTTTATTTCGAATTGAAATAAATTTTGGATGAATGATGACGTGACGTTGTTCGCAAAGTTTTGATAAAAAGAATACACATAATTACCGTAAACAAGTACGATAACATAACAATACTGGTATTTATTATTAAGGTTCTTTATTAGAGGTTTATCTAACAATAGGAATGGGTATAATATGACCTCCAGTAGGTCCTCAAAGTTTTTTTTAATTAAATACAGTAATTTATTACCATCACAATTTATGATTACATGATCACATCAAAAAGTAAGATTGCAAACCTTATCACATAAAGCTGTATTCATAATTTCCTCGGAAATCTCTTTTGAATTAGCTCTATCCATACTACTTTTATTTCTAAAAGAACTTAGACGAATTGAGCACAGTGACGCCTGTGCACGATGTCAACTAGCTGTCCCGAACTTAATACGATGCCTTGTCCAAAACGTCAGCGTTTCCGCAATTATCGGCGCTAGGTCGTTCTGTCTACATTAATCCAATCATAAGCGTAGACATGATTATTTATTTATATCTCAGTTTACGCTAATTGGTTATACGCCAATTAGAGATCACGAGTTCGTTTTCAGCGCCATTTTTTCAATAAAAGAATCGGCAACATGACCGTAATATTACGTGTTTTTAAATAAAAAGGACGATACCGCCATTTCAAAAAGACATTCGTTGGGATATCCTTCCTATGCTTTTTCGATATATTCTAGTGTTGAGAGAATGGTAACTTACATTTGATAGCGACAAACAAATATATAATTCTGACTGGAAATTATGTATAATACGTTTATGTGAAGTTAGGATAAGACATGCCATGTTTGTTGAAAATTGATACTGTAGTTCCGCCTACTGGTACAGCGGTCTTAGGGCCGTGAAGATCCCAGACGGTGAAGGCTAACTGGGCATCACGAGGCAAATCCGAGAATTTCAGAGGAAGTGTCAACCACTCGTTCCAGCTGCAATACGATTCAATATTCAATCAAGTGCGAAGATTAACGTACGCAATATGGTAATGTATCGAAAATTATTAGTAACTCAAGTCATCAATTTTCATTGCGGTGTAACAACTGTACGTCTTGTAGGAACGAGATATCAACCATTAATTTGCTGCTTATTTACAATAGTAATCATACTGAAAAAGCGAAACAGTTCCAGGTCCACACGAATTCTTACTAAACCTCACCAAAATTATTCCATCGTAAGCTACCGTTCAGATCAGTAACTGGATCTAGTAAGCATAACGCCTTATTATACCATTTGTAAAACCCTTATTACTATTGAATCACGAAATACAGCATAGGCAAGCTAAATCATTGCATCAACCTTGGAGCAAGACCCACTGAGGGTAATCAGTCTATAGGAGACAAAATATTACGGAGACCACCGAAACTGAACAAAACGAAATTAGTCTCAGACGAAGGCGCTCGTTTCCTCAGTATCGACAAGTTGGTTGTTTTGAAAAAATATTAGGATATTTCATTAAAAACAGGAATGAACCAAATATGTGAACCCGATCGTTAACTAAATTTTCAAAGAAAAAAACGTGGCACTAGAAGAAACCAAATAGTCGTCACGGAAAATCCTTGCAAGGATTAGAATAGTTTAGTTGAATGAATGGCAAACTAAAATGCTATTTCAATAAGCAACAACATACTTGTATCGCGTTGTAAACGGCTTGTACGATGTTTGCGTTGGCAAGGCAAGACTGCGTCCGTCGGAAAAGATTTCGACCGTGACAACAAGGTCGGAAACGAGGCTTTGCTTTTCAGCATCTCCCCACGTCAACAGTAGCTGATTACGTCGCAAGAGAGGATTTTGAATCAGATCCTGATACGGTGGACGTGGCCGATCGCCTTCCAGAGTACCCCTGAAATACAAAATACACAACAAAATTTAAACAAATGAATAATAGAACAGACAAGTAGATATCGAGAGTTATAAGAGGGCATTCCCAATAAAAACACGTTTAAAAAGCACACATCTCTAAACTAGAGTATCGATAAAATACAATGGATACTCGCGCCTCTAGTTTTCAATTGGTAAACTTCTGCTTAAATCCATGGTGGTTGACTTCGCTCGACCTTTGCTAGAAGTTATGCATATTAGAAGTATTTTAACGTTAGTACTTCTACCGTTAGTCAGGTAACTAGTTGGCTGAGCTGCTGTCTCTGAGATTAGCCACTGGATCATTCAACTACTCATCCATTTCCGTCACCCAAAGACACTATGTTGCAGAATGTATTTAATTACATCGTATAATATGAGTATAACATTTTGTTGCTTTCTGTCAGTTGTACGAGTCCCTATAGTAACAGAATGGCATGGGGGTGTCACTAAGACACCCGGAAAGCTTAACTTCAAGTCTAACTTGCTTTAGCCTTCAGATATATCAGTAGCGTAGTGTTCGGCGGAGAGTCTTCTTTCAGTCGCACCATTTTTCCAGGTATCGCCTCATTGAGCTGTCTAGACTTGTCATTTGGTACCATTTTTGTAGCATTCTATTATTCGTGCATAGATCCTTTATAGCTGCAATCTGTTAAAAAGTCTGCATGTTGAATTCTGGAATGAGACATGACACTGATCAGTCATTGAAACTTGTACGTTTTCATCAGCAGTTATAATGTTATTAAGGGCGAGTGTGATTATATATTCATTTATTGTTCGTGTTAAGTTGTCCTACTATAGTCGGCTTTGAAGAAGTTACCAATGCCTCTTAAATGGCAATTTAACATCAATGCCTGTCGTTAATGGACGAAACAAGCTCAACCCGCGCCGCCAATATCGCACGGATTACTTGTCATAATCAATAAAATTTGACTTGTATCGATAGACTTAAGTACGTTGTGACTATGGGTAAGCAGTCAACATCAGGTTGACCCTAGACTGTCCCCACGTTGTTCCATATATTGTAAGTTACCACAAAATTGCCACGAAATGAACGGATTAGCTGTTTATATGGCTTTATCGTGTCGCCGCTGTTTGTTTGCGTGTAAAGCAACGAATGCACTCTGTGTGTCCTGATCCGTTATTTACTGTATAACAACCAGTTCGCGTTTGTTTTGAGGATTACTAAATGAAATGCCGGAATAATAATGAGCTTATGCAAATCGCAGCTCACGTCTATACTTCCCAGTACTTTCTCGCATCTTGTAGCTCTACGTATATAAGGAAATGCAGAGTACACTTCATATGATAGCCTCGTGAAGAAACGTATACTCTGTGGCCTAATCATTCACTACTGCTGTTTCGATTGTTGTCATTATTTTGTTTGATTGTATGTCATAAGCACACCTGGCTGCAGCCCGGTTGTAAGACTTGCAATCACAGCAACAGAGACAACTTACACAGCAGAATGTTTAAAGCGACTACCATCATTGTCATTAAACGTTTCCCTGTTTCCATTACAATTCCTTACACTTTAATTTTGAAACGGGCGTCGAGATCGGATGAGTAAACATATCGAAGCAGTTGACTGGTCGGTTCGCCATCCAGGAAATTCATCTCTCAGTACCGCTGTCGAGGCTTTTTGCCCCTCTAGGGCTTGGCATGCCCCGTTCTTCGCACAGACTTGCCGTTTTGTTTCTCCTTCCCGGCCGCGGGCCAGGGTCTCAGGAATTTCAAGCCAATTACGTCTTTGCAACGACGACACACGCGCAACCACAGTCCAGGCGAGAACTTCCTAAACGTTACCACCTTCTAAGGGCTGTTAGAACGCACATCCACACGAACAAAAATTACTCGAACTTCACACGCGATCGGTCACCAGTAACCGGATAGTGCTTTTCAAAGCAAATCGAGCGAGTAGAATTTACTGAGAGCGGAACTGAGCTCGACAGATATGATCAGCAATGAAACATCTCGGCGCACTCCATAACTTTTACCGAAACTAGAAAACTCCTCGTTTCACATACACACACACACACGCACCCACACGCCAGAATGAATATATACGATGTATAGACTCGTACTTGTCGTGCTCGATTCGAGCACTCAATTTTACTGAGACAACTTACGAACACCTGGATGTCAACATGGACGATTGAACGCATTTCTGGTTCGACCCTTAACGAACTTCAAAGAGTCCTTATTGGCGGGCTGTTTGTGTGTGAGCGGAAAGGGAGGGAATGCGCTAACGCGGTTCGTTTGAAAATTACTTTCCCCAAATATGGTCAAAAAAGAAAGGTCAATTACAGTCGGGATAGTATCTGATGTCTAGATGCTACGAACTGTGCTTAACTTTGAATATTCTAGAAAATACAGTCGTAGCCAAGCCAGAAACCTCCGCTCCTTAGAGACGATCCATCGAGACGTGCTATACTATATGTGTAGTGATATGAAGGATGTTTTTTTTCGATGTTATTGCTGGCAAAAAACGGCTAAGGTTCTGTTGTGGTATTCACATCGGGCCTTGATGAACTGTTCGAACTCATGTTAATCATGTTAACTCATGAAATTCAAATACTGAGGTAAGCTGCCCAAAAATGAGCCCTTGGCAAACCCTAGCAGGTGAGGACCCGCAAGCTGGATACTAACTACATCTCTATTGTAAAATGCGTCATTCGGATCAGCTGCCAGCAAACAATTATGGCGACTGGTTGCGCTTTGGGAAGTTCATGGTATCAATGTAATTATTAGCAATTTACACGTAAAAGCCTTTTACGTCGGTTCGGGCACGTTAACATAGTGAGCTCAAATGCTAGAAAATAGAATGGCATACAATTTTGATAAAAAATTAACCTTATTTCTACAAGAAGAGAAACAAGCTATGAAATAGTGGTATACCTGTCAAGGTAGGATAGAGAAAGCTAATACTCGCAAAAATATTAACTTAATTAAAAGTATTCAACAGCTATCGATAATGACGAGCTAGTTTTACCAGTCAGCCCGTGGGCCCTCTGCCCTCGGTTACAATAATATCGGCGGTGCATAGAGCAGGTTATGTTAATAAAGATCATATGTTTTTATTGAGTAACTTTCCTTTTTTATTGCCGTACATTAAGTGTCTATCTATGCTACAATATGAGCTCTGCGCCTCCGTAGAATATCGCTTAGTTATCAAAAGAAATTCGTCCAAAATTGTAGCTCGTCTCTTTTCATAGCATAGAGACAGGACATTTAGACAATCACGAACACAAATGAACAGTTAACTACTGAGCCTTATCTGCCTACGTATTCATTAATAAAATAGAATGTTTCGACTTGAGCATCAATTAACCTGAACAGCAAATTAGTGTTACACCCATTGTAGATAACCCTGTCAAATACATCTTTCTATAATACCTTTAAATACTATAAATAGGTACTCAACCCGACGGTTATCCTAGGCCATGTCGTGACCAGGGGCTTAAATATAGAGGCAAGAAGTACAAAGATAAATAGGATTAAATCGACCATGAAAGCATATGATAGCTCGTGTGAAATTAAAAGAAAATATATATTTTGCTTCCAAGACTTGCTTGTAGGTGGCACAGATCTAAAATGGCATTTCAGCATAACAAAGATAATGATTTCCATACGGTTCACAAAAGCAGAGACTAAAAAGTAGTAGGGTAACGCAAAGCAACAAGGACAACGAAAAACATATTAAGGCTTATGTCAAGTACAAGCTATTCGATTACAATAGTTCCATAGTAGAATTAGTAGAGAAGGTTTTCCCGTTATTGCGTTTACGTCAACTGCGTAAGCGAATGTAGCAACTTAGAATAAGAACTAGTTGAATTTGACCAAATATTGGTGTTTTTTGGTTAAACTTGAAAGCCAATACAAAGCACACCACATTAGGGTCATTTACAGTCACTATACGGAATGATATGGTGCTACTTGAGCGGAACTGACAAGTAATTGTTTTACTTTCAAGTTGTTTGCAATTCAATTGCGATATTTATGTATTTTTTAACAGTATTTTATTATATTTAGCATCTCCTGTCGTGAAAAGGTGTTACTAGGCGACGCTGGCGCCATCTATAGATTGCAAAACAAACCATATATTACGTACAGTGCATTGAAAAAACATGGATATATTGCCATTATTAACATTATTGAATGAATGATTCGTTTATAGATACCTCTTCAGAGTTTTTTCGATTGTAGCTCACGATTGAGCTACGCCTTCACGTTTGCCAAGTTTTCATTGAAAGACATGTTTTTCCCGTGTTTTTTTTGACTGGACGTCAATAATCAAGTTAACTAACGCTCTAATCTTTGGTTCGCCGTGATAATGCATAGTATCCAATATACAAGTGATCCACTACAACTAATCACCTGCGATAGAGAGCAGGCCGTTACCTTAGCCACCTGCAGCACAAATAACTGATTTAGGTCGACGTACAACGGTTTTTAGAAGACCTCGAATTGAACTTCTCTATATCGGGAGAGAATGACATAACTGAACGTATTTGTTTTTGTGCTTCGTTCAACACGTCCTAACGAAGTCCTCAGTTGTTTTAAGAGTCCTGTTTCATTCATAATTCTATTAACTGTGATCCTTACGAGTCGATAAAACAACACTAGCTTCCGGAAGTTTACAGTCGTAAAAGTTTCTATGCAGCTACGATAAACATGAAAGTCAGGACAAGTTCAAGTACATGTGGCTATTTTTACAATTGAAGATTTACCCTTTCCAAAAGTAAAGACTTCATCGCACTACAGCAGGTAGAGCCGGTTCCATCTGTAAGCGACGATTAGACTTCTAGCTTACCACTTTTAAAATAAAAAAGTTACGCATCCAAATCTGACTTGTAGTGTTGGTATACACCGTTCAGAAGGTGTCTCATTAAATAGCTTCACGATGTGATTTTTCCATCTCGACGAGTTCACGCCACAGCAGACTTTGCCTTACTATATACAGAGCTTAATTATTTAATTGCTTTGCATGTTCTTGACAATTCAGGATTTGTTCGGTAAACAGCTATTTTTGCAAAATGTAGTTGAAAGAGACGTTAGCCGTTTTACCGCACTAGATGCTTATTCAGTTTCTAAAAGCTACACCTCATAGTTACCTTAAAGTATATTAGTAGTGTCCCTTCACAGCTGACAGTTTTTCCTTTTTGAACAGACCTCGAAACCGCCGTTCGTTGCATTGCTGCAAGAACCTTCTGTCAGGATAACAAAAGGCAGGAGAACTGAGTATCGTGCTTACCGCTTTTTTGGGTCCCTCTGATTAGTTGACGAATGTGTGGCCACTGTATGATCGCGAGAAGAACTCCAAAGGCTGTCCTGTCCAAAGGCTGAGGTATTTTCGGTGCTTCCACGCTACTACTCGCACAATCAAAACGAAAAATTAAGAAATATACGTCCACCTGCCAATATTACAGAGATATTCCGATAGGAATTCGAAAAGGAGGTACGCGTTTGTTCTTTTGTATCTAAACAACCTCACCATTTAGTGATTGGTATGCCGAAATAGTAAAAAGAGTACAACTAATAATACTATGATTACCTGATCGAAAAGACTTATTAAGATGAATATTTTTCCTGGTTGAAGATACGCAGATATTTGACGAGAGACTGCGGAAGTCGTCTTTAAGCGTTCAATGTACAGTAAAATCTCATCGATCAAACAGCGAAGCGAAATATAAACTACTGCCTTGCTTATCTATTGATTATAGGTTGTTATACTATTTGACAAGTGTTGAAAATCGTAATAATAATATATACGAGATTAGTATAATAGTATATACGAGATTTTTTACTTCAAATTTCATTTCAAGTTAAATGTATGAATGAATTACGCCATCTAGCCAATATTACATAATCAAATAAAAATAATTCAAGAACAATGTACCATTACTTCGATACTTCCCAACTGAGTCACTCACTGAAGGAGATCCGCAATTACGTACGTACGGTCGTCGTCCACTCCCTGCACGAGACTCGGATTCTAAGCGACAGGTCCAGGTCATCGACATATTGTAAGACAATTCGGATCTATTCAAAAGGAGTTAGCGAGCAGCTTTTAACATTTATGCATTATAGGTGCAAGGTTAGTTTTACCTTTATGCACAACTTTATTCAACTGACCTTGCCACTGGTCCTATTATTATCTAAACAGTAAATGATTCGTACAGACCCCGTTAAATAGTATTAGGGGACTATTATGATCATTTAATACGAGACCACTCTTTCTGAGCATCTTGATGACGCATCATTTCGACAAAGGCGATTCACCTTCTTTAGTTTATGGTAATACTGAATGAGGGATAATGGCTAAGATAAGAACGTGTGCATATGCGTACCAGCAAATATGTGTTCGGTGAATGATCTCCTAAAGCGACTCCTGAGTGCATCGTCCTTCTCGCAGCTTTTGCCACCCTTCCTAGGGCAGCAAACGCCAGCCAGGCTGCTCGGGTTGAAAATCATCCTATCTTTCGGGGAGACGGAACTACTCTTGGGGCAAATTTATTTCGCCTATTTCCCTGCGATAGCCTATGAACTTTCCTGTATATCTATAGATTCCCTTCAGTCCATTTCGCCTTTCATGTTGGGTCTATCATTCATCCTTTTGGCAGGTACCATGAAATATTCGCGCTCTTCGGCCTCGCACACAACCGTACACGGGCAACGATGAGGAAGAGATCGCATATGAATGGAACCGCCTCAACTGCACCGTTAAGCAGCAAGCGAGGTAGTCATTGCTGTTATATCTCAATGGCAGGAGTTCGGTGATAGAGCAAGCGCGTGCATCGTGATGGACAGCACAGCCGTGCGACGCCCCGTTCACTTGGGGCTGTTGGTGGAGGAAGACAGAAAAAATCAAAGACCCCAAACCACTACAGTATTCTATTTAGAGTTGCCCTTACATGTTTTTTTTTGCAACTCCGATTATCCCTATCACTCGTATAACCCTAATGGGCCACAGACTGTTTTCTATCAAATTTTGCTGAGCGTAGCAGTACACTGAGGACCCATACTACCGCCCAGATCCTCTGATGAACTGTTGTCTGCTGGCTTTGCCATTACAGCAAAAGCCGTAGCGATGGCACAAGGAACCGGTAGATCCCCAAGTAGTGAACGGTGGTTAGG